AAACAGTAGCTGAGAATGCTGCCATGGAAGAGTTCCTCCTAGTAGTATCACATCATTTTGTCAAACATGAAACACAGACATCTATGTTATCCTCTCTTTGAAGGAGTGTAGTATGCTATTGCTCTCAAATCCTCAGAAAATATCACTCAAAATTCAACAGATGCATGGGAGTTGAAATATATGGATAATTACTAATAGTGTTACTACTACTAAACAATACTATTTTTGTTAGTCCTAGACTATTAGTACTAGTAGTTACTACTATTAGTACCAGTACATCTACTGGTACATATTTTTATATCACTTAGTAAGCAGAATCATTCTTAATGATGTTGTTGCTAGAAGCCAAGCTATATATACTAGTACTAGTTGTAGTAGTAGTGATACTCCTGCTACACTAAGCACTAGTACTACTAGCAGTAGTCATACTACTAGTATTCCTAGTAGTACATCACAGCATATTAGTACCACTACTACTACTACTAGTACTCCTATGAGGGGGAGGACAAGAACCACCTCCTCGTCCTAGTATTTATAGATAGTAGCTAGTACCAGTAGTAGTTTCAGCATAAAAATTGTATCAGCCAACCACCCACTGAACCCAATATGTTCATTGGGGTGTTGTCATAAACTGTACTAAAAACTACTAKGTCTTAATCTGATGTTTACTTTCATTTTTACACCACAATTAAATTTGTACTGTAGATTGTGTASTTCMTTGCATGCATTTAACACGCAAGGGACTAAATTTGTACTTGATGCAAATTTGCAGTTTCGTCCTCTCGTAGCTGCCGGACCGGAAATTTTTGACAACAGTTTTTGTTTTTCTACTACACCATCGCTTCTTCGTGAACTTTACTGAATTACTTCGTACTACGAGTACGAGTACTCGTGCGCGTACAGTACGTACCGTACTATTCAAGAATGATATTTTTCGTCTCGTTTGAGCTGGATTTAAGTTTAGTTTTCGCTGACTACATCGTCCCTCAACGTATGAAGCAGTACAGCAAAGTACCGTACCAAACTAAAACTAACTACTCGTACCGCACTGGGCCGGCCTGTACCAGTACCTGGTAACATTTCTTTTGATCTCTGAAGTCAAAAGAATTTGCGGAAGATTTTCTACGGTACATATTGTAGATACAATCAGATACAGTGCCTACGGTACGGAATGTACGGTTCAGCTGCAAGAAAACAAAGGAAAGAAAAAGACACGAATTTTTGCGCCTGCCTGCTGTCGTCGTTGCGAGTTCCTCGTGGTAACAAAAAAATTTTCTTCTAGGGTACTTGGGTACGTACGTACTCTTACGGGTATTTCAAAAGGTAAATACCGTATGAGCGGAACTATTCTCCAATATCGATGAAGRTACCAGAGGTCTAGCTCCAAGAACAAGAGGGAAACGCGAGCTGACGTAAAGGCACAAAGYAAGACGGAATATCTTTTCTAGCGAAGAGGATTTTTTTTGGCCCCCATTTGTGCATTCACTGTAGCATAGTTCGAATTCAATAGGATGAATTCGGATCCCAAATTAGAAGTACGTTTAGGATGTGAAGGTCCCACAGACGATACAGAGGTTGAGCTTCAAGTGGGCGGAGAGGAAGGTAGAAAGGTGACGAAAGAATCAACGTTTTCATCGGATGGCATGAAACCAATGGAGGTMGGATCCGGTGTATACGACAGCGAGGCAGTTTCCGGATCATGGTGTTCYGGTTCAGACAACGCCCTGACACCATATCAAGAACTTTATACCGATGACAAGGTACTAAAGAGGTCAATGCTTGTTCTATATTTTTCAGTGTTTGCCGATGCTGTGAATGGCACAATGTGAGTTGAGCGAAAGATACGGCTGGCGGCCTTTTCAAATTTATGTAAGGCTATWGTTTAAGTGTTCTGCTATTATGTCTAACGTATTTACTKTCGGTACGATTGCATATTTTTCTTCAAAAAGTCTTCAACCGAACTATCCAATCATGGTGCTACCGCCTGGTGAGTGTATAATTGTATTTATAGCGGTTTTGAGTTCCCTCATCCTTATGGCATCACCTTATTATCACCGTGCTTTTTTTWATTCTAAATAGATCACCCAGAGGTCCACAAGGACAGTTTCCCAAGTACGGCTCCGTTCGGCTTCAATGCAGCGACATATTTTCTCCCCATGTCRTTCTTATTAGGTCTCGCTTTCGCCTCCATCTCAATTGGATCCTTGTCGGATCGATTCGGACGCAAGCCGTTGATGTTGGTTTGTCTTTATGGTAGCGTTTTCCTTACTGGAATTATGTATTACACGAGAAAAAGCTTCTGGGCATTCTGCGGCGCGTCCTTCGCAAATGGATTGGTGTCCGCAACAGTTCCAGTGGCTCTGGCCTACGTGAGTGATGTCTTCCCGGAACGAGAAAAAAAGGAAAAGGAAATTGGTTTGGTCATTGGCATAAGGTGAGGAATCTATCACACTCACGCAAAGAAAATATTATCATCAGCTCAAAGGCCAGACAAACGGAAAACTCATGTTTAWATTTTTTGACTTGAATATCATATGTTCTCTTATACCTCCGTTGTTCATAGCATGCTTGGAACTAGTGGAGGGGGGATCGTTGCCATTCTAATGGAGAACACAGGATTATTTGCACCGTACGTTGCTCAAGTGTACATCAAAATCTTATACCGTATTCTTGCAACAATTTCGGATCTTTTATTTCTAACGTGTTTTCTTCCTGGTTTGCAATGGTAGGCTATGGGCCGGTATAGCCCTCATGGCAGTCAGCGCTATTGCAGCAACCTTCTGTCTCATCGAACCTGGAACAATCGTTAAACCAGTAACGATTTCTCCTTCCGATGGAAACTGCGAGGACGACGAYGATGATGAAGAGAAACCTCCTGAGAGCCTAAACTATGGTACACTTATCATTATTGTCCTGGGGGCATTGGCCGACAATGTAGGAAGTGCGGGCCTCGTTCGTAAGTATTCATCGAACGAGATGTGGCGCCTAGCACCAAGAATTATCATGTCACCCTAAACTATTTCTTCTCCCGACTCTCCTGCAGCCCTTTGTTTGTCTCCTSTAGCTTTCAACGTATTCTATGGGGATCCTATAGCTCAAGGTCTGACGCCAATAATGTCTCAAGTTGCTTACAAGTGGATTTCAACTCTTGTTGCAGTGGCTGTGATACCGGGTACTTTTGTTTCTCCTTTCGTCTTTCGAAAGCTCGGTCCAGCTGGTGGATGTATCCTGGGAAATATTATCACGGGAATCGCAATGATTGTCCTTTTGTACATAGCTTTGGCCCCTCCGACGTCAGGCACGTTTGGGGCATTCGTTGCACTTCTTTACATCTTTTTCCCGTTCACTGTAATTTCACAGCTTTCGACTGGACCTATGCTCGATTTCATTGCACCACTTAACAAAAGGGGGTTTGTTCAAGGTGTGAATATCATGGTGATGAACTTAGCTACATCCACTACACCATTTCTATTTGGCATGATGGCCGACATATTGGGGGTAAAACCTACCATTTGGACGTGYGYTGGTATCAGTTTTGCTGCAGTATTTATCAACCTGCCGCTCATGTTTAAGAAAGGATTAGGAATCCCACCAAAAGCTATTCCTCCCGAGAGCAAACCTTTGAAATTCGAGGACGAAGAACTAGTTGAAAAAGCGCTAAAAGGAGAGATGATTAGTATTCAGGARATGAACACTTTGAATGAGATCCGTAGATTGAAGGGAAAACCGTATCTCATTGTCTCTCCAGGTACTTTTGAGTCAGACAAAGCGCGAGTGCCTGAGTTACGGGCGCAAGCGAAAAATGATTACTCCTTTTTGATGAACATGACTGATCATTACATTCGCTTGACAAACGATAGCGATGATCTTCAAGGACTTTTAGCTTCGGTGAACAAGGCATACGACGCAGATCCAGAGTTAATTGAGAAAGCGAATGCAGAGCTTGGTAAATGGTTTGCTGMCTATCTACATAATTCTGGGTGAGTATAAACATGAATCTATCTGACTCTTCGTCTGGTATAATAGTCCCAGATTCGGTTATGAACTCATCACTTTTCTTGCAATAATCACGTGCAGATACATGGCGCATACATATCCACAACTCACGAAACAGATGATCATGACAGCATTTCCCGTGATTACTCAGGATCCAGAGTTCACAACAGATAATGTTCAGGAAATCTTGCTAAACAGCAGACGAGTATATCGAAATTTCATCCACTTGGAAAATCTTCCGGAGGATGAAACGATRGGGGATCGCGTCGGCAACCTCCTTGCCTCTGGTGCGCGAGCCACTAGCTCAACTCGCTCTTTGGCTTGGTAAGGCGATTATGCAAATAATCATCACTACATTTGCTGATGCTTTTTGTGTCGCTGGATCGATGACTGGAAGATAGAAAAAATGCCCCCCAAAAACACTCACACCACTACCGAGAAGAATRCATAAATCTTGAAAGATACATTCAATATACGCCCAGCAGAGTTTATAAAAGAAATTGATCAACTTATTCTATACTTTTACGAAGATTGCGCCCTACAAAAGTCTTGACAAAATTAGCACTGAGAGATGGTAGCTCTGCAGTAGAAGGAACCAAAGTTGAATCGTTGTTCGCACCAAAGCCAAAAATATCAAGGGCCAACTTCTTAGGTCGGAAGAATTCTCCTGAACCAGATGTTGCAGCTGAAAAACTGTTTGTTCTTTGTCGTTTTCGTCTGCTGTGTTCGTTTGAGGSAATTTCCAGTCTAGGTCCAGTCGCCATGAAAGATTCATTTGACGTGGCAGTATTCTGATGATTTGACCTATTTTCTGTTATCAGCATCAGSTCACCAATGCTAGTCAACGCATACAATGTTAAAGGAGATTTTGCCCCCTTGTGTGTCGTGTTGTCCCAATTTGATTTCAGGCGCTGCTTTCCAACCGCACAGAGTGAACTTATACGCCCATCAATGTTTTCAACCGAGCWGAGCGAAAACTCTCTATCATTGACTCCTTCTCTTCCGGTATTGATGTCAACGAAAACAACGCGACTTTGGTCTTCGACAGCAGAGTATACGGCCAACGCAATGCACCCCAGCCTTTCGATGAATTCCACTGCTGTTATGATACAATTTTTCTGACTTGACCAATTCCAACCTTTAAAGCTTCTTGAACTTCCGTAAGGACCATAAGGAGAGCGAAGTGATACGCATGATTTTGACTGAATCAACAAGAGGTCTTTGTGAAGACCTGGACTTATGAACTGCACGAATTCGATGTCATTATTCCCTTGGAAATGATCGAAGGTGGTCAATAAACGTGCCCCGTCCGTGTCCCAGATCGTCCCAGTCTGCCCAAAAGCAATGACAAGGAGAGAATTGTCATCTGAAAATGTGAGACCATTTGCTCTAATGGAACAGTTGGAAAATCCGGCAGGAATTTTCACCTTGTAGCGACAAGCCCATGAGATTGATTTATTGCTTCCAAYAATCTTTTTCCAAACACGAAATGCCTTCTCATTGCAACTGGCGGTGCATGCAAAGGAACCGTCCTTAGACATATCAATGGCAGATATACGATTCTTAGGTCCGTGCGGGTATGTCATCGACGCGATTTCATTGTATGGAGGTGCAGAATCATTTTTAGTCGAAGAAGAATCATTCCAAGACCAGAAACGAATTGTGCTTACGGTCCCATATTCAATGCTCTTTATTGGTTCATCAAGAGCTCCGATGTAGGTATTTTCAGTCTGAGATTCATCAATGGTAATTAGGTCTTCACCGTTCCCACTGAAAACGTGAGCTGTGATCGAAGGTTTCGGCAGAGGACTTTCATCAGGTTCGGTCTTACTAATGCGATTAAAGGGAACAACTTCGAGTGAAGAAGCTAGCCTTTCCCTACTTGGATCAAACCAATGAATGTATCCCGGTGCTTGCGTTAAGCCAGTGACAACCAGTTGTGAATTTTTCTGTCCATCAGAGCGAGGGTCTGCATGCAGAGAACCCTTGGTACTCTCATTCTGTGCACAAGCAAGTCCCTGAACCTTCCACACGCACCCCTTGTTATGTGATTCGAGAAGCTGTAGGGTGTTGTCCTCGCAGTAGACCAGAATTCCACTTGCGGGGTTGTCATCGCACCTGTCAGAAGACGACAAGTGAACAATCCCTCCAAGTGCAAGACGTGGATGCACATGTACAGGACGATCCCTGCCCTGTGAAATTTGCCATGTGACCAAAACACTTTCGTCTCCTCCACTGTACAACAAAGGATCCATCGGATAACTCATAGCGTCGTAGACAATGCTTGTAACAGGAAGAGCATGCCAATGTACCCTGCTAGTGATCATATTCTTTCTGGGATCTGGGGGCAAAATTACTGTTTKTGATGTTGATATTGACGAATCTCCTGTTAGTCGTTTTKCCTTCTTCATTGCTATGTGATACAGTTCAATATCATTCAATATATTATTCATGACACAGATGTTACCATGGTGATGGCCACACGTTATATCAGCCTTGTTCAGCGAGATGCTGGCAACCGTGAGGGGGTTATTTGATGGCATTGCAATGGACATGGGCGCGTAAGCCTCCAACGCATGGAGCTGGTCATAGTAGACTGAGATTGAATCTGCTCTTGCTARTATGACAAAAATCGAGATATTGTCTGTGTTTGTATTGYTGTTGTCTCCAGAGAGAGCTTTGGCCGCAGACATCATCCGAAAAGGAAGCATGTCAGCGTAMTTTTTGTTTTTGTTCGCACTAACCTTGCACTTGAACTTATCAAGTGAGCGCATCGATTCTTTGGRCGACGACAAACGGACATCTCTGGTAGATCCATCGAAATGCGGTACAAGGACTCGTATGACTTCAAAAGTAAAGGACATATCTTTTTTCTGAGACTTCACTCTTGTACTCTTTGATGGATGATCCTTCTCTTCTTCCTCTTTTCGTTCAAGTCTTCTTGCAGCAACATACATTACAAGACCATCCTTTCTAATCTGTGGAGTTCTGATATGTGGTACTGTCATGTGCGCAATGGGATCTTTCTTGAGAACGCGAATCACACGGCGCGGATGAAAGCATGAACCCGAAATACTGTATGGTCCCAAATCAACCTGCTTCGARGCATTGCCGTGATTGTTCCCCAGTTCTCGTAGTGAGAATTCACGAACACTACCGTCATGACATCCTACCATGATCAGAGTTTCATCCACTGAACTGCTCGTCCCCTCAATTCCGTCAATTTCGTCGTCGTCTTCTAAGTCCATTCTATCWAGCACATCTTGTACTGTTGTTTCCGATACATTTCGTTGATATTTGACCATACTAACGCATTCAATTATGACATTCTTCTCGTTGCTATCGTCTTTGAGAGAAGGAACAAGAGTTCCGACCTTGATCCCAGTTTTGTACGACAAGACACTTATGTATCGAGAATGTGGGAGGAGGACAAAACGTTCAGTTTTTTTTCGTTGATCACAAGTCACTTCAGGTGTTATGATCGGTTCGAAAGTATTCCACGATGCAACATTGCTCTGGTTATCTAAGAAAGGTTTCGAACGACTTCCAAGCAATTGACCTCCAACTACGATTCGATTCAGAGATGAGGAAGTCGATTTAGATGTAGTGCTAGTAGCTACGGCCTTCCGTTTTGGTTCGATCGACTTCTTTCTKGTTTTGTTTGCACTCCTTGCCATTTTATTTCAATACCGAGCTCGGTCGGAGCCCGTACGTATACGCTTTTCTCGTTCGAATGCTGCTTATCTGTTTCGGCAGCAGCTGTAAGGTTAATTGATGGGTCGATTATTTTGTTGGATCGAAAAACTACTGATCGATGCTGGAGATGKGCWTGCCTGTAATTTGGCCGGTGATCACCGGAAGCGTGAACTAAATTTTCATCGAAAATCAATTGGGATGTGAATGGTTGTGAATGCCTGCCTGACTTCATTGATTTGATGGAGATATTTCATTCCCCAAGACTCACGACAGAAATTTTTTGGACATGGTTTCGTAWGTATCAMACGTAGCTTCAGAGGATCGCAAAGTAACGTACGATACTGKCTAATGGGTGATTCCTGTTAATAGATGTGATAGTACTTTGTTTGATAGACTGACAGACGGAAAATTTAGCACATCTATGACAAAATTTATTGTGGTTGATAGAGGTCAAACTGGTGCTATCAAATGTAATAAATTTTATGATGGAACTCACAATTCAAAATTATGAGTCGTCCGTCAAAAGACTCAACAGAAAGGCCTGCCAAAATTAAGACTGAATCAACAAAATTGAGACTTTTTGTTCTTCCTAAACAACAAGAAGAGACAAGCAAATGCCTTCTCTATCAACAACAATGGCACCATGACATCTCTCTTAACTATCAAGACACATAAATAATGTCCCGGCCGGTGCTCTTAGTAGTCAGTACATTCTAGTATTTCCTTTCTTTGTTGCAGCAAAGATAGCAACAGCATGAGGAGGAGAAGGCCACCAGCAACAACCTTAAGACAAAGTAAGAGGAGGCTGGTCCAATCCCCCAGCAGTATCCCAAATGTGTYGTTCTCCAAGCCTTGGATACTTGTCTCCAATAGCCTTAACATAAGCATCCACTTCATGCTTGGTTGGAACACTGACCATGAGTCTGGGTGTTTCTGAAGAGCAACAAGTATCACTCTTCTTTAAAACTTGAGCCACTTGCACATCACTGTGGATGTCAAGCCAAAGGCCATTGACATTGCTCTTGCAACAAATCCTCTTGTCCTGGTGTACCAATACAGGACCACCAATCCAATAGCACACCAGACTGCATCAACCTCCCTCTTCTTCTCCTTTGGCTTGCCACTTGGATAACAAGGATTTTTGACAATGTTTTTATTGTCATCCACAGTGTACTTGTTGTATATTGGAGCAAACACGTCAACAAGCTCCCCGAAGACCTTGTGGTCTGCACCACAACAGTTCAGTAATTCTTGATCAAGACCTGAGCAGTGAAAGAGATGGAGCAGGAAGGGGAATCAGCATATCTCCAAATTGCAACCCGGGGAGTTCTCCTATCCCTTCTTCTCCTCTCTTCAGGAGTTAGTCTGTTCTTATAACTTTGCTCCTCCTGCTAGTTATTCAGTTGAATGTACCAGTACATTTTAATGACCTCCAAAACTCCCATTATTGTGGCATTCTTGCTTACCAGGAAGAAACTGTAGTCTAATAGTGCTGTTGATAGCAAATAGTGTAAGGAAGACACAAAATTTTGATACTATGAGAGTATCAAAAATTTCTTGTTCCATGTTCTACTAGAGTATGAATCAAAAATTTCATGTTTTTCTTTGTACCAAGTGGCGCCCAGGCCTCTTTTAGTCATAACGTTGAAGTATAGTTAAGATTCGGGATTCCAAAAGAGACTGGAATAAAGCCTGCCTTCCTTGGCGTCTGCCTGTTGAAAAATTGATTCTTGTTATTATAARTAATAAAAGTGCTAAATTTACCAGTTTAGCACATCTATAATAACGGGAATGACCCAATGTAACTAATTATACCTGATAGTTGTATGTACCGAACCCTTCTCAAAAAAAGACTAGGTGAAGTAATGAATCTGACTTTTTTGATTGCACTTCCTACTACTTTTTAAGTTATCAAACAGTTTTCTGATTGAAGGAAGCTTTCTAGATAGGGTACAAACACARCGTGRCGAACACACAGTTGTTCCAGATACCGCTGTCCATACATGTAAAAGAATTAYATGACGATGACTTGSGTTATRGTAAAGACGTTTGAGTTCTTACCATTCCATCAACTGGTCATAAATATTCTTGTTCGGTTTTACACATCTTCCTCGGTCGTGTCACCGATATCTTCCAAACTGTAGGAAAGGAAGTTTTTATTAGTGTACACGCACATRTCTGATGCTACATCCATTGCTTTTTGGGCGACATCTTCTGCGTCCATGTCATCTACGCTCATCAAGGCCCTAGCGGCAGCTAYATTTCAATTCGATCCAGACCACGAAAGAAATACAATTGGTCAGGGCAAGCTCTACGTCAACAATTCCCAAAAATATTCATTTTGTCTTCCGTCCCATTACGAAAACAATTTTCATTCATTTTCCCATCTCCACAAGTCACACTTACCCAGTGCATATGGGCTACCACTTCCGATAGATACAACACCATCTGTCATCTCTAAGACGTCGCCGTTTCCCGTGATTTCCAATGTTTTTCTTTCGTCTGCCACGATCAACGAGGCTTCCAGTCGTCGTAGATACTTGTCAGTTCTCCACCCCTTGGCCAACTCGACGCAAGACCTCGACAATTGCCCGGGATATTCATCCAATTTCCCCTCCAAACGTTCTAACAGGGTGAATGCATCCGCTGTTGCACCCGCGAAGCCCACCAAAGTCGCCTTCTGTTCGTCTTCTTCTTTGTTCTCAACCGTGGATCCCAGACCACCCTTTGGAAATAAACGTTGAATTTTGACGGCATTTGGTTTGACAATCATGCTTCCCATGCTGACCATACCGTCACCCATCATACAGACCTTGCCATTTTTRCGTACGCACAAGATCGTCGTTCCGTGGTATGTCGGAAGCGAATTTTGTTGGCCTGACGAGTGAAATGAACGGGCTGTATCAAACGTAAAACYGGTCACGGATCCAGAAGTTGCAGTTGCCACTACTGATTTTTTCACCARCTTAGAGGCGGAAAAAATACAACTTGTAGATCCCCGGAGAACTGAAGAATTCATTGCAACAGAATTTTGGGWCGCTTCAATGTGATTACTTGATAGTGATGGCGACGAAATGAATCCTTTTTCGAATTAGTTCTCGATTGTTGTCTGGCAGTCCCTTGTCAACGATCAATATCAAACGAAAGAGAAAAAGGATAAGATTGGAATGAATCAGAGCCCAAAAGATGATTAATTAGGGTTAAAGTTATAAATGTGAGGTGCGCTGTTCTTTCTCGCGCAGCGATGGAAAAAAAAAAACCCCGCCGATGGCGCTCTCCAGTCTCCAAWCCAGTCTCCAGACAAAATTAAATTACTCGTACTTCTACTACTACTACCAGTACTCGTAGTAGTAGTACTGGCATTACTAGTAGTAGTGATGTATTATTTGCTAGTATTGCTAGTACTAGTACTACCGTACTAGTACTATCATACCAGAACTACTAGCAGTAGTATTTCTAGCATCACTACTACTAGTACTAGTACTACTGGTATTAGATGATGATACCATGATGATGCAACAGAGGAGCTAGGAGAAGCCAAATAAAGAACCGAAGTTTTAGTACAAAATAATACGCAAACATCATGTTCTCAAATCTAGTAAACTAATTCTTGAATCGTTGCTCATCGTGAGTTGTATTGTACTTCTTGCGTACTTACTTTAGTACAGAATAGTACGTACTGTAGGAAAACATTTCACAGCATGTATATCGTACCGTATCTTTGTACAGGAACACCCCGTAGGATTCGTCGTATCGTACAGAGCTGCATATGCCGTAAATGATCCCCAGACTTCAGACGTGCTCGAGAAAGTGCTGCATGGTGTACCGTATGGTGACGTGTTTTACTCGATGAAAACAGGACAACAAAACACACAGAAAACCCATCAGCAGTGGACAGTACCGTAAATATTACTACACTCAGTACATCACGGCATCTTCTCCAAGAAGGACGACAACAGCGCGACAAGGGATATTTACACAATTCGACGAGGCACCGCGCATCCCATTTAATCAAACTGCTCCTCCCAAAAGCATAATCATGATGAAATTGACGAGAGCAGTTCTTTTGTCGCAGGTCTTCTTTGGACTGCACTCAGAAGCCTTCGCCCCTCCCAATCGGCAGGAGAGCACGGCGCTGTATTCAACRGCCGAAGGAGCGACTGCAGTAACTGCCGAACTCGACCTAGATCCGAAGGAAGTTGTGAAGGTATTTGGTCGATTGGCAGAAAAGTACATCATGCTTGACGAGAGTGGCGGCATGTGCTGCTATTCCGCATGCAAGGATTGTGAGTTTCGACTTCCCGGTGGTGGCTACAAAATGGCCGACCAGAGCGCTTCTCGACCCAAATGGATCCCGGTGTACGAAGAACGAATCTTTGAGGGTCAGGGCAAAGAACACATCGCAAAATGGAAAACTGGGATTTTTCCAGATGGTGCCACCGTCGTDACAAAAGAAGAATTTGTCGACGCTGTTTTGGGATTGGATTTTGCCACACCATTGGGAGGTCCTTTTGTGTCCAAATCGGCGGGAAAATTGGAAGAAACTACTGTTACAGAGTGTCTCTTTGATATTTTGGCGGATGGCAAGGATAAACTAACTCGACACAGAATGGGTTTGGGTTTGAAAAAATTGTCGGGAGATGAAGCTGGATTAACATGGGCAGGCTTTTCGGCAGCAATGGGACTGTAATTGTAGTGTAGTTCGTCACTTTCATTTACCAGAAAGGTGCTTTACCRCATTTGGACRATATCGTGATCTCCGAAAAACTAAAATTTCCAATTTTGTAAACGAATTGKGAACAAGTATGGTACCAATACCAATACCGTTATGGTTCGAAAGGTCTGCTCTAATAGTATTTAAAATCCTTCATTTTGGTATCGGTTATTCGGAGCAATGACTTTCCCTGTTGCTCCGCAGCATCTTCTACCATCTCCCCCTGTGCCTTGTCTGCAATGACGTATTTATTGRCGCCGGCGAAGAGAATATCTTCTAACATGTCATTGTTCAAGGAATCCACGAGCAGCCTGCTCTTGATAGACGCACCAGCAACATCAAGATAGATCAATTCTTCACAAACTTCCACAATAGTGTCTGAAATATTCGACGTATAAACCTCCGATCTATTTKTTGAAGAAATCCATAGGTAGTCACAGCCCCCAGTGGYATCAATCATTGTGGCAATATTGTTCGCTAGTGCTATTGGTTTTATGTCCTCATTGTTGTCACCAGCGTAGGCGTCTTCTTTAACAGAAATTGTGGTGTGAATGCCCTTCTGAACGCATCGCTGCAAAGAATTTTGGGATTCTTCTCCACCAGTATAGTTCAGAATCTTGCTGAAAATTGCCGGGTCAGATGGGTTTTCCTGAGGTTTGAGAATACCATCTTCGACGGCATTGGTCTTCCCGTCATTCAGGTTTTCCTCTCCATTAGAATCACTCAATAGGAACGCAAAATTTGGTGGAGCAACGACCGAAAGCGTTTGCAGGTTTCGAACGTCACGCGGAAATTTGATGGGCGGAAGAATCACACCGTGGATTCCCTGTTGTATAAGGTGGTGCAATTTTTCCAACACTTCCTCCGCTTCAAATCGATCCTTGCTCATTCGGTGTGGGAGAAAGGGTAATTTTTCATCGCCATCCCCAGCTCCTGAATTGAAACCGTTTGTGACGTCGAGAAAAAGCCGGATTTCCTTTTCGTCGTGGACCGGCAGGTGCAAACCGGACTGTGAGTCGTAATACGTTGAAGTGTGCCTAATGCTGCAACTAGATCTTGGGTTAGCAACAGCAATAAGAGCAGGAGAACTTGCAGGATGCAATTTCGGACGTGGTATCCGGGAGGATCTTGAAAATGCCTGTCGTGATCGAGATAATAATGCCGATGCCATCATTCGTTTACTGTGTCTGTAGTTGATTCTTGCTAGATTCACARTGTCAGAATCGACACCCATCACATACATCCCGTACTTCGAGTATCATTTGGTATGAGTACGTACTGTATTACATTACTTCTACGAAGTACTGTATTTCATTTTGTAAAGGTTGTTCCGATTAATCATGGAAGTCGAGAAGAAAAAAATACTAGAATAGTTTTTCCTCAATGAAATTGTTGATGGAAAGGGGAGTCTGAGGGGGTAGAAAACCTAAAAATCCAGTATGGAGTTTTTTTAAGGTAGACCGTAGTACAAAATGAATGGTTGTTTTTAGGCTCTATAAACTGTTTCTTCCAGAAAATATACAGAGCCAATAGTCGCTGTTTCTTTGAAAGATAACAGTTTCTTCCACAAAATACATTTTATGCCACTGGATGATGACAGTTCGACTTCCACTTGAAGCGAACCGCAAAAGACCTAATTCAATTTATCGGTCTGTTGCTGTACCATAGGTTTTACTTGGTAAAGTACGAGTTTAACAACAGTTCTGTCTGTAAGGTGCAGGGACCCTGCCGCCAGGTTCTACACAAAAAAAACTGACACAACCTCCTGCTCTCACCAAACAAATCCACCTCAACATGACAATGGGAATTGCAATAACTCCATAATCAAAGCACTCTAAGACAAGCAGAGGATAGTGTTAGAAATTCTGAGTCTCCTTTGCAAGGCCGCCAAATATCGTTCCTAGGTTCAAAGAACTCTTATTTCTACAACTGTTATACTAAATTGGGCAGAAACAGAAGAAGTTTTCGAATTCAGCAAACACAGTAAGAACACCAAGAAGGAAGCATCCTTTGGCAATTCCATTTGGTCTACTGTAACAATCATTATCTAATTAGTAGATCTATATCTTATCATTGTGATTGGGGATGATTTGGTTGTGAATTAATTTTGACAAAAGGCTTCTTGGTTGCTTTTATCAAGAAAGCGACCGAGGAGCTCTTGTTTGTTGTGACAATATTTTAAGTACTACATTGAACACAGTTCTACATATTTCATTTTCCAAACATGAAAAACAAGCAACTGAGAGCCATCAGAACTGCTTTGGAATGGCATCTGAGSTCTTTTCCTTTGGTTGTGATATGCTCAGTCATAGTGTTGGGGAGGTGTGCGTGTGCTGGTGTCCTAATGAAATGCTATAGAACAGCTGCAATTCTCATCTTACAGCAGTACATGCCAAAAATAGCTAGTGCTGGAGACCAGTCATGTATTGTAAAATAGGCCAGAAAGTGATAAAAAACAACTCTGATCCCGTTCACCGGTTAGTATGTCTTYATTGGTGATACAATTACTTAGAGATCCATGCCATTGGGAACCCATAGGATGCTATGGTGGCTTAGAACTGGCTCACCAAAGTTACAGTAACTGGTGGCCTAATTTTGATGTAAGAAACGGGCCCCACCAGAACCTGCTTTATACTAGACCTTACATGTTATTTGAGAAGAGCCCAACCATCCAATTTTTGTAGCCTTTCATGGAGTTCGAGTTCAGTGAATTGTTTGACATGTCCTTTGAAACCTCTGTTAGAATGATCCCTTCAAGAAGGTTTCCTTTGTTGTGACCAGCCAGTGAAATTCTTTGTTGTATCCTTTTTTCTGCTGCTTCTTGTTGAGCTAGTAGTAGTAGTAGTAGTAGTAGTAGTAGTAGTAGTAGTAGTAGTAGTAGTAGTAGTAGTAGTAGTAGTAGTAGTAGTGGTAGCTTCTTGCACTACTTCAAAATTTGCGTTAGGGCTGACTACTGGACAACATCCATTAGATCCAGTGAGAAAGTAAACAAGCAATGAAAACATTTTTATTTGAGGACTAATTTTCACATTTATTCTTAAGTGTACAAATGAGCTAAAATTCTTTCTATTAGTGTTTGTGAGGGCATTGGCATGAACTTTCCAGCATGGGACTGGTGTACTTAGTACCTCTACATTCTATATTATGTTATGGTACTTTTGCATAACTAGTTGATGTGCTGCTATTTGGAATTCCAGATGGCCAGAAATCCAGTTTGGAACATTTACATCAACTGGGAACTATTCTGCATGACCAGTCAGCATGCCTAATGACTGATGAAGTGCACTGGACAGCATTCTACATCTACATTGTACTCTCACTGATTCATTTTTCTTTAATTTTTTATCATTCTACATTCTACCGAATGTAATAATGTGAGGCATTTCTAAAGAACTTTTTTCGAGTCAAATCTGCTGTTATACTGTTTGGCATACAAAGTGGAACAGATCGGCCGTGCCTACTGCATTTTTGGGAATCATTACTTATTATACCTCCACAAATGGAACAGAGAGCAATCAATAGCAGGTTCGAGAATGGAATTGTTTTGAAAAATTGTTACTAGGTACCCAACTCTTCCAAGAGCACTTTATTTATTTGATAYCTCTTTTTCAACTAGTTTTTGTTGTTGTTCCATTCTTGCTCCTCAGATATGAATTAAGACGACTGAGGGTGTATTTCGTCTTTCAGGCCACTCGTCTTTTCTCAGCTTCAATACAACACAATACAAGATATGTCTCTAATCCAAAAAGTGACCGAGAACTGCGACATCGTTGCCGGGTGAAACCAAACACGCTCACCACCAAGTTCTACGTTGATGACTGGTCCCATGAAATCACGACGGAGATTCTTGGGAATCAAATATAGCCGTATTTGTTGTTCGGGAAAGTCTTGATGGAGTCATTGGAAGCAATGGCAACAATAAGGCGATCAATGCGATTTGTTCTTCGATCAAGCGGATCAATTCCAAGAATTTAATAGGATTGTTTTTCCAAAAGTCTGAGTATCTCGGTTTTGCATCAATCCCATCCCGGGCGTTCCTTGAGTTCCCAGATCGCTCCCGCCGTCGGTGAAATTGTCGTTCGCTTTTGGTAGTAAGTTGAATCTAGTAGTTCTTTCGCTCTCTTTGGATCTCTCCATTGGGTGAGCCTCGCTTCGGCAGCCAATTTCAGATCTCTCCATTGTTTCCCACAGCTATCTAAACGGCCGTGCCGATACAAAGAATCCCACTGATAGCCCGATCCAATGCAACGAGCCCACTCGTCCCAGAACAACCCCACTTTGATAGCTTCGTCCTTGGATTCATCGGCAGCAGCATTTTGAAATGCCTTTGTTATCATCGTAGCGATAGGTGCCGACTGCTCTTCTGGAAGAGGTTCAGGTTTCGYTCCTGTTTTATGCTTTTCCGACATCGTTGATTTGCAGTGGCGTGCAATAACACCGATTGAGTTTCAACGTTTGTTGGTATCTGTACCGGTAGCTCTCCTGTGTTGTCAGAGTTTGATCAACTTTTCGTTCATTCGTATCGTTTTTACGAGCTCTCAGTCGACCACTCGCGTTTATTACGACTACGTGAGCATTATTTTAGTACGTTAAGTACGGTACGGTACTACAGTACAGTAATTCTACGTTGTAATGTTTAGTGCTGTACCCCGTAGTAAGAAATAAGAAAAAATTCGGAGTGAGAATAGTTTTGGGGTGTATATTGGAAAAGGGGGATATTAAATCAAAGAATATCATAATAACAACGCGAACGATCGCCACTCAAAAATAGTGAACGATGTTCCTACGCCTCAAGACCTCAGAATTGCTCCCATCAAAATCATTTACCATCATTAGAACACATCAGCTAATTATGAGTACAAGTACCGTACGAACTCTCAAACTATCGTAGCGATACTGTACACAGCACTAAACAGAAACAGAAAAATATTTAAAAATACCAATACCAAAGTTCTTTCATCGGCAAGTGAGACACAAGAGCCGAAGACGCCTGTCACAATCCGAAAACGACACTATGAGTAGCAAACAATTTTCTTCATCCCAATTCATATGCCTCGTCATCGCCATCTCTTGCCTTGCAACGGCATGCGAAGGTTTTTTATCCCCTTCTCATTTGATGGCGACAAGAACTGCTCACGATGTCGTACAAAGCAATGAAAAATTAACGCCGTCGACGGTTCTTTTCTTATCGTCTGTATCTCGCAATCGAAAACGATCTCCGTCCACATTCAAAGGCAAAAAGAAAAATAATTCCGGGAAAGGCAACAAAAACAAAAAGAAAAAGCCTGGCAAATGGGATCGTCGGCGAAGCAAAGATCAATTGGAGCGACAAGATGCTCTAGCAGCACAACCACGCCCCATTCTTACCCGATACGAAGACGAGCGAGACGGGGAAGTGAACGAAAGCAGGTTGTTTTCGTCACAAGGGAACATTCTCTGCAAACATTTCGAGTCTTGTCCGGGATGCGTCACTGACAGAAGAGTCGGCGATGTCGAGATTATTCGATCGGCTGCGCGGTTCTTTTCAAGCACAGCGATCCGAAAAAATCGTGTCGACGTGGAGCGATCGGGCGAAGATTGGGTGATAGAGGAAGAGGACGATGGATTCTATGAAGTAGTGGTGCCATCCGAGACCACTAAATGGAGGACCCAAGCCAAACTCGTGGCTACATCAAAGTCCGGGAGTCAATGGGCCAACGAAGGATGTAAATTCGGGCTTTACAAACGCGGAACACACACCGTGATGGAGATTCCGAATTGTGAAGTCCACCATCCTTCCATCAATCGGGCTGTCGAAGTTCTAACAAAAGCGACAGAGAAGACCGGAACACCTGCATATAGCGACGACAATGGATTGCGCTACGTGCAACTTCAAGTGGAGAGGACGACGGGAAAGATTTCTCTCACGCTAGTTTGGGGCACTTCAGAGCTGAAATGGACCCAGCCAGCTCTCTCGCGCCTAACGAAGGAATTGCTGAAGAGCGAACCAGATTTGTGGCACAGCATGTGGTGCCACTGCAACGACAGTCCCGGAAACAATATCTTTTCTAGAAATCCCCGCGCATGGCATCGATTGTCGGGTCATGAATTCGTTCGAGAGCCCATGCCGGTTGGCGACCTGGGATGGCTCTACTTTTCGCCCCTTGCCTTTCGCCAGGGCAACATTGATGGTTTTGACGTCATAGCAAACGATGTGGCACGAGCGGTCCCTGGTGGGAGCAAGGTTTGTGAGTTGTATGCCGGGGTTGGTATGCTTGGATTGACCTCGCTGGTCTATCATCACCTGAACCACCAAAAATACAAGGACGAAGTGACCGGCTATGGCGAACCACTGACGTGGGTTCGGTGCAGCGACGAAAACCCGGCCAATCCCAGATGTTTCTCGGCCTCTGTGAGATCTTTGTAAGTTTAATGTACCTAGAAATGGACCACGGAGTTTCTATTGATTGTCTCGATTGTCGGCTGAACTCATGCATACTGTATTTTCCCATACGAAAACGAAATCCCTCGTCTATTTGAAAAATCGAAACACTTAAAGACCGCGAGAAATCACGGAATATCAACAGGCAGAAACGAAAGAGCCAAAAACACTTGGAGATCTGATGAAGGCAATGGAGGCCGGTGGTGATGATTTCGAAGACCAAGTGGCACAAAGGACGGGCCCCAAAGCAACCTATATGGTTGCTAGTGCGGCAGAGGCCTTGAAAGCCGGACAAGCCCTCGGGGCAGACATTTTGATTGTCGACCCACCCAGAAAAGGTTTGGAAGACGAGGTTTTGGAAGAGTTGTGCAAGCCATTCAATGCCAAACAACCATGTGTAGAATCTCCGACAATGCTTGCGGTTCCAGATTACTTGGTAAACTGGACCAATGACGTACAGACACTGATATACGTGAGCTGCGGATTCGATGCGTTGGCAAGGGACACCGAAAAACTGCTATCGAGTGGAGGGGGATGGAAACTGGAGAGCGCAACCGGATACGTTCTCTTCCCGGGGAGCAACCACGTTGAAACGCTGTGCATCTTCCGTAGGCAATAAAGTACAATAGTCATCTGTGAATAGATTTTTTCCAAAGACAACTCACTCCAGGTTCCAGTCTTCAAATGTAGATCATCCTCATTTTTTCAAATAACAGCACCAGTAATCTCGATTTTACTGGCTAGCATACCAAAAAACAAGATGAACAACACTTTGTACTCGGACTGTCGACGGGGCTACATAAGTACTACCGGTAGTACTACTGTAAGAACATATCGTGTATCGTGGAACTTTACTACGTACGTACCCACCGTACTAAAAGTACACATGTTTTTCGTTTTTCGAACATCCAACCAACCAACTTGGAGTTTGCTCTTGACAGACACCAGAGCAAAGGCAGTCCCACACCTCAACAACACCGCGCTTCTGCCAATTTGAACCATCGCACCAATCGGTATATCATTTCGTATCGCGCAAGACAAGGCAGCAACATGTCCACTCCATCGCACGTCACGGAAAGCGTATCGGATCGAAAGGCCGCTAGGGAACTGGCGGAGGCCCGGGCTTCGGGTGCCGTCGCCCCCGCTGTGGACGTCAACACCAACAAGATCATCAACCCRCACAACCCCGAATTCATCACAAAGCGACCATGGTATCTGGGAAACAACGACCAGGGTCCGTCGCTCGACCACCAGGCCCTCGATCCGAACACGAGCGGCGACAAGGCCTTTCTGAGCATGAAATCTGCCGACGAACTCGTGAAGCAAGAACGCCGTCTGGAAAAAGAAAAGAGGAAGAAACAGCAGTTCGAGGTCGGAATGTGGGTAGAAGCGCTCAAGGGAAACAAGGGGACTTACAAGATATGCCAGATTATAAAACTCGGGAAAAAAGATACCTTGTTCGATCTCAAATACGAGGACGGGAGCATCGAGAAGAAAGTCAAGTTCAAGGCGAAAGCCAAAAAGGGAATGTTCAAGCCTCGCATTCGCATGACAAAATCCGGAACCCGAACGCTAAAGATCGATGCCGAAAAGTACGGAAAGGAATCCTACGATGCGAAGCGAGACAAATACATGGGCTACGATGCCGATTCCCACACAAAGAAAGTGGAGGAAGTCTTTCAGGCACGGGAGAAACTGAGGCGGAAGCTGCGGGAGGAACAAAAATTGAAGATGCAGCGAGACCAAGAAAAGCAACAAAAAGACGGGGCGGTGGACGGTACAGAAGCACAACAGCTGTCGGACGTCGACTCGGACGTCGATTCCGACGCGGAGGGAAGCGGAGACGAATCCGCGGACGAATTCGTTCAGAAAGAAGAGAAACTCTTCACAACGCGTCTCGCACGGCAGGGTGGTGTCGGCGGGGCCCAGATGAAGGTGACCGCCCGCAACCTGCGAATCCGCGAAGACACGGCCAAATAYCTGAGAAACCTAGACACGAACTCGGCGTACTACGATCCAAAATCGCGATCGATGCGAGACAATCCAAACCCGGAAGTCCCGCCCGAAGAATCGCAATTCGCGGGGGACAATTTTACGCGGATTTCGGGAGACGCCATCCACTTGGCCGAAACACAGCTGTTTGCCTGGGATGCGGCCGACAAGGGCGTTTCGGAGCTCCATCCACAGGCAAATCCATCGCAGGCGGAGCTTATGAAGACGAAATTCAAATCGAAATCGGCCGAAATCCAACTCCAGAAAAAGAAAAAAGTCCTCGACAAGTACGGTGGACAAGAATACCTGGACGGAAGTGGTGGATTGGCCGGCGCTATCGAAGAAAAGAAGACCCCGAGTGCCCAATCCAGCACCGCGGAAGGAAGAAAGATCCGGTTCGGTGTTAGCATGGCGAAGGAAGAATACAGCAGGGACGGTCGCATGCTGAACGGCCAGGGAAGCAAATCCAACAAAATGGTGGCCCAAAAATCAAAATACGAAGAAGACGTGGTCACCAATGGCCACACARCGGTATGGGGAAGCTACTTCCATGTGGGGGCCTGGAGCTGGGGATACGCCGACGATCATTCGCTCATGAAAAACTCCTACTGCACCGGAGCCGTCGGCCGCAAAGCCAACGACGAGGCGAACGAGATGCAGTACGGAACGGGCTTGGCGGGTTCGGCTGCCCTCGCCCAGGCCCGGGGGATGCTCAAAGCCCAGTCCAAGAGCAACAACASCAGTRCCCTCGGCAATGCGATGGATCCACCGTCGAGTCGTTCGAAACTGTACGGCGAAGCGGACCAAAAGGCTCGATTGGATAAGGACAAGGTCATGGCAGCCATGGCAAAACTCGACCGGGAAGAGAAGGAATCCATGTCCGCCGCGAGGGGCGACAAGAAGAACAAACGCAAGTACAATTCTTTGAATGCCGAGACCGATGTCACCGAAGAAGAAATGGAGGCCTATCGATTGCGGAAGGAGAACAGGTCGGACCCGATGAACAAGATCTCGAGTGACGAAATATTGGAATACAAATAGGTCGTATAGAAGTTGCGTGCAAAACAGTTATGAGACACACGTGGTTCGATTTTTTAAGCTCAGCACAAATCTTAAAACATCATTACGGCACTGTTCACAAAGTCGGAAAAAATTGTATTCGTATTGAGTAGAAAATGCTTAGCGACTACTTCAATCAAAATGGTAGAAAATTTTATGGATGGTCTGCCGGCCTCATTTCGAAGCGTGTTCGTTCCAAGACCTCGCTCGACTGGAGTTCGATCTGCAGCGTTAGCTCCCTTTGTTTCAGTTGGTCGTCCACGGCGTCTATGCGCAGGACCTTCACGTCTACGGTATCACCCGGTTTGTAGTTTTCCAGAGACTGGAACAGGTTCGCCTCCGTCTCTATGACCGTGTCCCCGACTTTGACGATGATGTCCCCGATCTCCACGAGGCCCGTTTCGGTGCGCTTGGTCCCCTTCAAACCCGCCCTGKCAGGCGGACTTCCGGCGGGCACGTCGAGGACCAAGACACCGCGCCCGATGCCCAGGGCCCGGGCCTGTTTGGACTCCAGAAATCCAATGCCCAGAATCGGTCGAACGACCTTGCCGTCGCGAATGAGTGTCGTCACGCTGGTGATTGAGTGTTGCGTCATAGCGCAGCGATAGTGCCCGTGCCGTGGAGCAGAAGAAACGCAGCAAATGGGATCGGTGAGCGAAGAGAAGCGCTCGCAAGGCACCACGGAGCACACGCCCGCGACCCAAGCAGGCCAAGGTGCACGCCGGTGGCACGAAATTCACGATCACTTACATGTATTTGATGGTGTCAATGGGTATCGCGAACCCGATTCCCGCCGAAGCTCCGGACGGTGAGTAAATGGCGGTGTTCATTCCGATGAGCATCCCCCTGGAATCCAGGAGGACCCCCCCCGAATTCCCGGGGTTGATCGCGGCATCGGTCTGGATCACGTTGGTAATGGGTCGGCCGATGGGACTCTTGACTTCCCTCCCGAGCCCGCTGATGACGCCCGCCGTGAGGGTGTGGTCGAGTCCGAAGGGATTTCCGATGGCCATGCCCAGCTGGCCGACCTTCAGCGTAGAACTCTTTCCCTGTTGGATGGGATACAGAATGTCCTCCGGCGCATCGATTTTCAGCACGGCAATGTCCTTCCCGGGGTCCACTCCCACCACCTTGGCTTTGAAGACGGTTCGTTTGTATTCGTCCGACGACACCTTGTTGGTGTTGGAGGTTCTCGACAGGCCCCCGTTCGTGGTCCCGAAGACGTCGATCTCCGAGCTGTCGCCGGTTGACGAGGACGCCAGGGAGGGAGAGGATATGGCAGACCCCGGTAGCTTCTTGTCCTTGCGGCCCCTGGGAGTGATGAGGGCGACCTGCGCGAACTTGGCGTTCCGAACGACGTGGTAGTTGGTGACGATGTGCCCGTCCTTGTCCCAGACAAAGCCGGAGCCCGTGCCCAGCGGAACCTCCATGATGTTCGGGGAAAAGGCGTCCTGTTTCACCGAAAAGGTGTCGATGAAGACGACCGATGGTGCGTTTCTCTCAAAGACCTCGATGCGGCGGTTCTCGGATTCCTCCAGAACGGCGAGGGAGGACGCCCCGGCCGACGGGGGTTTCCCCCCGCCGGACCAGGAGGACGCCAGGGTCGTCAGGAGAGCAGCCGCCGAGCTCAGCACCAGCYTCCGTCGCCTTGCTTCTGCTGGCACCCCGGAGTGCGGATCCGCGCCCCCTCGCCGTTTCGCGGGATCGCCTTTGTCGTGTTTCGATGGATTGCGGAATCCGACCGCTTCGTCGCCACCACCGTCGCTGCTTCCGAACAGATCTCGTTTCGATGGAAGGCTTGTTTTTCTCCTTCGTTTTGTCTCTGTCGGTATTGTGTTGGACTGGACATGCCGCCCACATCCCCAGTGACTGCTTCCTCTTCCGACCCGCGACCGAAGGCTCCAGCGCCGGCTGTCCAGAGCCCATGCCGATCGATGCCGGCCCCGTGTGTCGGTRGCAAAGAACGGGGGCCCMGATAGGAAGAGGAGGAGCAAGAGGAGTGCCGGTGTGYGTGCTGCCATCAACAAKGTATTCGCCATGCTTTYCGAAGGTATCGTACACAGCTGCCGAATCGCTGCCAATGGATGCGAWTGCTGCTTCGAACCGGACGCGTTGGTGCGRCGTGTGTCTTGCGTCGAAGCCGAAGCAGATCCGACATGGTGGACTTTCAACATACCGTACGGTACGTTCCTCGGTACACGTTGAGTAGTACTGTTGTACGGTATTTCTACAGGATCCTGCCGTACACTCGACTGGAATGGAAGCGCTTCATCCGGAGTTGTGCAGAGCACGAGGACAAGGCGTCTGTCTCGAAGTGTCGGAAAGAAAAAAGTTCGACGGAAAGATATTCCAATCGTGACTGAACCTATTCTGACTCATTGATTGATTAGAGTGCGTACTGAGAAATACGCAACATATGTTACGGATCTACTAAAAGTATGTAGTAGTGTGTACGTAAAACGCAAAGCAAAAGGGGTCGAAAATTTATTGCCAGAACGTTCTCCAGATTTGTTTCTAGCATGAGAGAACATCAAACGTAGGGTACGGTACCTGTACTACTACCGAAGTACACAGTACCGAAAAAAATTGGCAAAAGAAAAACCAACGTTGCCTCTGCCGAAAGGGATCACGCTTGTTGTTGTTGTTGTTGTTGCTGTTGCCCCGAAACGCATCAATGGTTGGAATGGAAGCGTTCCGACAATGACGACCATCAACTCACTAGGACATGCACGGGGGGTTTTGAACCAACAAAGAAGACCGCAGAAGAAGAACGGCTACCTCCCGGTCCTCGTCGCGTTCTTGCTGGGAATCGTGGCCGGGCGATTCGGCTCGCCGGCGACGGACCGGAAGGTCCCCGCTCCCCCCGGTGCTTCCGCGAGGGGGAACGCCGGAGGCATCGGCAACCCGCCCCCCCGGACCTCCGTCCGCAGGCTGGAGGACACCCCGTTCCGGGCGACCTCCCACGCGGACCGAGCCACCGGAACMACCATTGCGAAACAGCAGTTCCTGGACCCCTTTGTCGTGCCGAACCTSGCCGGGGTTTCGGTGGCCACCCTCCGGGCCAACCAGACCGTGGAGCCACACTCCCACCGCAGCATGCACGAGTTCTTTTACGTGCTGGAGGGCACCGCGGACTTTGCCCTGTGCGGGAGGGAAACCCACCGGGCAAAGGGGGGAACCTTTGTCCACGTCGTGCCCGGCTGCGTCCACAGCATTGCAAGGGTGCAAGGGACCGGGGGCGACGGCGACGACGGCGACCTCCGGGTGCTGGTGGTAGGCGTGACCGTGGGGGATTGACGGCGGTGGGTGTCCGAACGAGCCAGCGCTTTCCACCCGATCTGCTCCTTTCCCCCCCCTCCCGTTCGACCCTTTTGTGTTCCGGTCCCCCGCGTTCGTAGCCCCGTGCGACGTCCTGCACRACAAACAAAAGGCCGGGCTGGCCTCTCTACTAGCATGCGCTTCGCCGGCAGCTGTGCCGTGGCAGAGGCAATCATAGACAAATTGGATATAGCGTATTAAATTACTGTACAACGGTTTGGTTTAGGATGGGGTGCGTTATTGGAYCGCTGCCGGCCCGGGCCGTCGCGTGGCACCGTACAGAGCGGGATGGTTGCGGGGCACGGCAGCGGCGCCGGTGGCGCGCTAGTTCTTGTTCAGAAAGTCCTGCTTCTTTCCCTCGAACCCCGCCCGGCTCAGCCGCCTCCCGGTCTTCTTCTTTCCGTCGGCCTCCGCCTCGGTCTCGATGCGCTTGCTGCTCAGGTTGGCACCGGCGCTGCCGCCCAGCTTGCGCTTGGTGAGGTTGTGGTTCCGGATCTTCTGCCGCTCGTCCATCTTGGACTGCGCCGATTCCATTCGGGTCTTCCAGGCCTTGGAGGACTTGAGCTTCTTGGCGGCCCTCCGCTTGAGGGCCTTCTTGATCTTGGCGGGGTCGTCCTTGACGCGCTCGCCGGTGGCCTCCCGGAGGGTGTCCCCCCACTCGATGCTGGCGGCCTTTTCCTTGTCCTCCTGCTTGTCGCTCTGCTTCAGTTCCTCCAGTCGCTTCTTCTTGGACTCGGCGTCGGCCAGCATCTTCTCGAGGTTCTTCGACTTGGACAGGTTCTTGAGGGCCTTGTTGACCTCGGTGTAGTTCCCGTTGCCGACCGGGTTCAGGCCGGAGAGCCGTCCAAAGTCGACCATGGCCAGGTCGGACGCCGCGTCCCCGGCGCTCCCGGAGGCCCCGACCGAGAGCCGCGGCCGCTTGTGGCTCCCCGCCTCGGCGCTGGAGGCCGCCTTTTTCTTGTTCCGTCGGATGGCCTCCTCCTGGCGCTTCTTCTTCTCGGCCCGGCGGGCCGCCCGCTTGCTGACCGAGCCCGGGTCGACGGGCCGGTTGCCCCGCTTCTCGGCCAGCTTGGCGTGGAGCTTCTCCCGCAGGGCCTCGATGCGGGAGGCCCTGGCGTCGGGGGTTCCRGCGGTCGCCTTTGCCGCKCCCGAGGAGGGACGCTTCGGAGCGGTGGGGGCCTGCGGGACGCCCGCTCCCCCCTCCAGGCGCTGCTTGATCTGGGTCGTCGTCTCGGCCGAGGCCGGGTCGAACTTGGCCCGCTTCGACTGCTTGTTCCGGGCCCGGCGGGCCTCCTTGCTCTCCTTGGCCTGGCCCTTGAAGTACTTGGGGTTGTAGTCGTCCCCCGACTGGCCCTCGATGTAGAGCTTCGAGGGGATCATGTCGACCAGCTCGTCGAAGAAGAGGTTGTGGTCCGTGAGGTCCCGGAGGAGGTCGTGGTACAGGGCCCCCGCGGATGCCTGCCGGGCCTTTTGGCCCCTGGGGGCGGGATCCGTCTTCGTCTTC